AGACCGGGTTCAGGAGTGTCAGGAAAAGTCGGGAACGGTTTGCTTGAAGCGGCCATGGTTTGCATGGCTTCCAAATTGCGGCCCCACACTTGTCGGACGTGTCGGAAGCTGTGGCCTGCGGAGGTCGACCGTTCCCTGCTGTCCGCGCGGTTCCGGGCTATCTCTTCAGTGGTGTCTCTCATTCATCACGGGCGCAGCGGCTTTGTGGTGCAGGAGGTTCGCGTTGGTGCACGCGAGAGTGGTCGGAAGTCTCCGGACCTGCGGCCATAGACGCTGGACCAGGCGGCGGTACCGCTAATATCAGGTCCTGGGTTGACCTGCGTGGCTACGCTGGACAGAATAGTCCGTTAGGTGATGCCTCGTCCGTCCACACAAGCACAAGAACGTCTCGCGTGCACGCAAATACCAGACATCGCTGACGACTAATACATACTGCCGACGGCAGAACGCTCCCTCATCACCCCAACAGCGCAGTATCCGAGGTCGTGGAAACTGCCTCACTCGCTTCCCACTTCACTACCCACAGACAAAAAACAACCAAATAACTAGAGACTAAAGTATGAAAAGACCGGAAGGTCGTACTTTGCCTTCAAAAAAAAAACCATCACCACCAACCTACCTACCTCACTACCACAATAAACTCCACAAAACATACACAAAAACACCAACCCTACCTATCTACAAACCCAAATACAAAAAACCCTAACCCACCCAACTCAGACCCCCCCCCCGCCAACCCACCAACCTAACACCACCCCTACCCTAACATCTCCCCCTTCCCCCGACATCCGCAAAAGAAACTAACACACTACTAAGACTGCCACCACCATAACCCGGGGCGAACCCCCCAAAAAACCCACAACAGAACACCCACCCAGCCCTCCCCCGACCCAACACACACCGGCGTGCCCGGTTGTTTCTCGAGGTCCTCTCGAGCTGACCAGTTTCCGCGACCCTGCGACCGCACTCCAAACCTTGCCAAGTACCCAACCGTAAGTCGACCCGCCCGAATCTTAATCCCGCCACCGCAGACGGTTTGCGCCGGCGGCTCGGTGTGACGCAGCCACCGCTGCCACGCCACAACTAAGAGAAGACAAACAGACTGCGCAGAACACCACTCCTTCTGACCACTGGTAATCTACTTAACCCCACCGCGCTGCTTGTCGACAAGACTTGAGTTGCGCCTCTACCTACACTAAAAAACCAGAACTGGAGTCCGTTTCGTGCAGGCGGAGGACAGAGTCAGTAGCGACCAACCAACATACCTCTAGCCCACCCAGAACGGGCGAAAGTACCATGCGAAGTATGGTCGACCATACACACCTAAGCGTACAACACGACCGGCCAGCACCACTCGGCCCGCTACTTGCCACCTATTTTTCAGTAGATTACGCTTGTCAACGCGCTAAGGTGCATCGCCACACGAAGGCCCCGTTGGAGCGTTTCCTGGTGCCTGAGAGGAGGTTTGATCACGTCAACATTGACCTAGTTGGTCCATTGCCTTCCTCTCAGGGGTTTTCCTACCTCCTCACCATGGTGGACAGAACGACCCGTTGGCCGGAGGCGGTTCCGCTCGTTTCGACATCGGCCACAGAAGTTGCCCGGGCCTTCATTGCAACGTGGGTGTGTCGTTTTGGCAACCCGTCGGACATTTCCTCAGACAGGGGCTCTCAGTTCACGTCCGAGCTCTGGAACGCTGTGGCAGGCGGTTTGGGGGTTAAGCTGCACAGGACTACCGCTTACCAGCCTCAGGCTAACGGCCTCTGCGAGCGCTTCCATCGCTCCATGAAGGCGTCCCTCAAGGCCGGCCTTACGGACGGCAACTGGGTCGACAAGCTGCCCTGGGTGATGCTGGGCCTGAGGACTGCACCTAAGGAGGATCTGCAATGTTTATGGTGTCTACGGTAAGCCGCTGAGGGTTCCGGGGGATTTCCTCCCAAATGCATCAGCTCCCTGGTCTGCCACGGCCCAGTGAGTTTTTCTGCGAGACGCAGCGGAGGCTTTCGCTCCAGTCCCGACTGCTCAGCACGGTGCGCCGGGGTCTCAAGTTCCTGCGGAGCTACGCTCGGCTGGGCACGTTTTCATACGGCACGACGCACACAGAGGCCCCCTGCAGCCCCCTTACGACGGACCTTTCCGGGTTTTGGAACACGGTGACAAACACCTGGTGGTCGACATGGGCGGCAAGGCTGAGCACGTCTCGGTTGACCGGGTGAAGGCTGCTCACTTGGACGTGGACCGGCCGGTGGTGCTGGCTCGGCCGCCGAGACGGGGCCGACCCCCGGCTTCGATTCCGGCAGCGAAGCGGGCACAACATTAAACACACTCGTCTCTGAGGCGGCACCTGCTGTGAGGATGATGAGTGTGGTGGTTCCGATGTCTGTTCTTGCTCTTTAAAAAAAACTTGAACATCGATTGTTGTGACATCGTTATTGAGCGTGGTATATTTTTTGTGTATGTCCAGTCCACTGTCCTCCTTCGTCTGCGCGCGGCCGCGAGACGTTCTACGATGAGTTTGCTCCCGCGCTTCGACTATGAGTTCGGCCTGATTAAGTTAATTAATGTTGCTTTTAATTTTATTTATTTTTAAAGGGAAACACATGTTTGCTCTTATTTTATTATTAATTGTTCAATTTTGGATCAAAAAATGTTGGAAAACTATATTTTTGCCCAGTCATTTTTGATCAATGAATGGGTTGGCCCAGTGCCAGAGTGGGTGGGCCTAGGCCCAGTAGGCCCACCCAGCGCCATATAGATAGAATTCTATCTATATGGCGCTGGGCCCACCCATAACGCCGCGGCTGTCAGAACTGCAACAAGATTAAAAAAGATAACAACAGATGTCTTCACTGAAATCCATTCATGCATACTAATGTTTGCTTTTTCCTGGTTTCCAGCAGAAAAAATCAGAATGATTCAAAATCAATGTTGTAGCTAATCCTCGACATACACCAAATAGTGAAAAAATGAAATAAAATAATATTTCCTAACATTTGGAATACAGAACATCATTTAATTGTTTTATAAAGAAGAACAGTGGTATTTTGAAAACAAACTTGCATTTAAAAGGTTAACATTATGAAAAGGTATAATTATTTGGAGGCTTTGATCAAGACTTTAGTTGGTTGAAAGATTTAACACATTAAGTGAAAATTGAACATATTTTTAAAATATAATGGTATACAGCTCCAAAGCAACTTTTATAAAATGCAGTCGCATGGGTTAATGTCCACCTGGACAAATTACACTTGAATCGCCTCGAGACTGATTTTGCTCCTCACCTCCTCCACGTAGCTCATAGCATCCTTGAGATTCAGCTGATGGAAGACGTTGAAGACGTAGTCGCGGCTCTTCCTCGCCGACGGCTTCATCAAAATCCTCGACATCCACTTTTCCTCAAAGTGATTCCACCTTCAGAGAGAAAGAGGAGATGATTAAAGCTTCACGTAAACAGTTCATCTAATTTATTAACGTCATATTTTCAGATGTCTTTACATACTTGTCCCTCATGTAGTTATGTCCTATTTGTCCGGAGATATCTTCTATTGCTACAAGCATGTGATCGAACACCTGCACAACAGGAGCAGAGATTCTTTAAAAGCTGGAGTGTAGCCATGTAACTTATTATTCTCGTTGCTGTTTAACTTTGAGCTCTACCTTGTTTTGGAGCTTTTCTACGAGTGTGATGTCAGTCACTGCAGCCCTCTTTACTTTAAGCCAGTTGACCAGAGGCTTCATTGTTATTCCCTGCAACAGAAAGAGAGATTGCCAAATGAAGCTGTGTTTGTGGAGGAAAGCCACAAAAACACTTTATTTATTTTATTTATTTAGCCTTTACTAAATCAGGTGTCCCTTTGAGATCGTATATATAACTTAAAAGGGACACCAAGCAAAAAATGGAAACAACATAGAGTTTCAACAATTAACCCAAAAATACATAGATTAAAGATTTATTTATAATGATCAAAAACTAATTTGCACATAGACCTGCTGGACTGAAAATATTTCACCCTTGCTTTAAACTCCTTCAGAGTTACTACGTTTTGAAGTTAAAGTTCAGTTTTACATTCAGTATTTACGGTGGCCTACAAGTGCAAACACGATACAACGGCCAAAAAACCTTCCATTAGGAAAAACTTGCTGCTCCTTTAAAAACTATGCAAATAAAAAACACGAATGCGCCAAAACATATACAAATGAAGAAAAACCTTCACCAAATGGATAACACATGCGCGTGCAGCATTTAGAAAACATTCATCAACTTGACGAAACATTAGCATCATTTACTAAAAGTGCTGCACAAACAAAGTGGTGCATAGCAAGGATTCAGGAATTATAAAGTTGGCCACCTGTCACTGTTGCACAGTTTGTCTGCTTTCTTTCATTTGTAAGTGTTTTGTCAGTATATTTGAAATGAATAGGTTAGCTAAATTAGCTAGCTTACAGCAGATCTGCAATAATATCGAAAGAATCATGTGGTTACATTGTTAAAATAAACCAACGCGTTACACTACTCCATTACCGACAAAAGCAATGGTTACTTTGTAACGCGTTACACCCAACTCTGCTTGTCGGCCACCGTATGCTGTAAGTATGTTGAGAAAATCTATCAGTTCTGACATAGGGAACAACTAAACGCAAACAGTACTGCACATTTTAATTGTAGTGCCCATTATTACATTTTAAAAGATAGAGAGAAGTAGAACACGAGGTGCCAATCATTTGTTTTTAGCTTGGTGACAAAATTAGTTACCTGAAGAATTACAGTAAAGTACACGACGATTAGAGAAGTGCAGACCATCAGATTCTTCTCCTTTATCTTGGCCTCATCTAGCATCGTAGCCAGGCCGTATGCGACAGCGCCTCGCAGGCCACCGTAGCTCATGATCAGCTGATCTATGAACTCCACTCGGACCAGTCGGTACCTGTTCAGGATCCAGGTGAGGAAAAAGACCCCTGCAGCACACACACATACAGACTGGTTGTGACCTCTGATATAAGATATCGTGTTGTTTGCTGACAGCAAAAGATACTAATCTCACCGATGAATCTGTAAACGAAGATGAAGAAGAGCGTGAGCAGGATGAAGCCCGTGTTCCACACCCAGATTGTCTTATCAATGGCCGAGATGCCGAGGAATACAAAGATGATGGTTTCTGATCCGTTGGCTAACACCTTCATCACATATCTGACTGTGGTGACGGACCGCTCGTCCATGTTCGTATTGATGTACTTCTGACAGCACATGCCACAGAAGACGATCCTACAGACCAAAAACACAGGAATACATTTATTATAAATAAACAGTTGTATAGATAAATGTCTCCTTCCATAAATCAGGGTTCCTATAAGTTCTTATGGGCCCAATTTCCTCAAATTAGATTACTCAGCATCATTTCTATAATTTCACCAAAAAATACCTAGGCCCAGTGGCGTCGCCTGGCCCGAGCATTCAGGGCTTTAGCCCCGAATGTTTTTTCTGTAGCCCCGGACAATTCTCCCTCAATAATATAATACTGTGCCAGTGGTGTTTTCTCCTGGAGGCCAAGGGAAGCCAGGCTTCCCCTGTTTTTTCGGATTGTAGTTATAATTTTAATAAATAAATAAATACACTTCGTTTAGTTTCGTAAATTCTTTGTTGTGTGTTGCTGCCGGCCCGTCTCTCCCCCATTCTCATTGAGTATTTTACAAATAGTGAAACAGCGCCCCTCTAGATGTTATGGTGAAACAGTAGATTGCACTCTCTGTTGCGAGAGGAGGCCAGCCGAAATAGAGAACCGCAGTGACGCGTCGTAAAACCCGGAAGTAAGTTAGCATTTTTGGCACTTCCGGTTCCTTCCTCAAAAAGCAATGCATTTTTTCCATAGGGTTTTGGAAAATAGCTCGAAATAAGGTCTGTGGTTGACACAAATTTAAGAGGTAATTGACGTTTTGTTCTACGACATTAAATACATCAGCAGTGACCCCACTGGGGATTTTTGAAGAGTTTACGTGTCTGAAAAACGATGGTTGTTACCGAATGGCTGAATAGGACTACAGAAATTGTCGAGGCCGTTGTACGTCATTACACCGAACACGTAAACACTCCCGCTAAGTTTGTTTTCCCCTGTGTTCTGCTTAAAAGCAAGTACCTGCCTATCTTTAGTATCTGTATATCTATATCTGACCATTAGAATCTGTATTTTTGAAATTGTCGTTTTTAACACCGTAGTTTTACAAATTATAGAATAATTAATTACCAGTGTTTTCCAATTTTACTCGGCAGTTCGTTTCGTTGGCTAACGTTAGCTAAAGCTAGCGCTACTAGTTAGCTACGCAATGGTTTGTTGCTTTGCTCCGGGTTGCAGCCACAGGTCTTCGCATGAAACGTGCTTGTTCTATCGTTTCCCGGCCAATGTTTTCCAAAGGAGAGTCTGGATTCGTGCCATGAGGTAAGCTGACGTTACATTTTTGTCCATGTCACGGTGAAATGTAAATGATGGGTAGTGACTGTATCGCCGTTTTATAGATGGCGCTGCTGAAAAGACCGCAACATAAGTAAAGATAATGGATACATCCTATTAAAACCTGTGTGGCTTATATG